CGATCTTCGTCGTAGTCGGGATAAAAATGGCCCATTTGGTCAACCGATCCACCACTACCAGGATGGAATTATATCCATGGGAATTTGGCAGCTCCTCGATAAAATCCATCGAGATGCTAGACCAAGGTTTCGTAGCTACCTCCAGTGGTTTAAGCTCCCCATGAGGTTTCTGCCTGTTAGTCTTCGCTCTCTGACATACCGCGCATCCAGCAACATAATCTTCGACATCCTTCCTTACTCCAACCCAGACATAATCCCTCAGGACTAGTTCAAGGGTCTTCGCCGAACCTGGATGACCGGCCAAGGCTGAGTCATGTCGCATCTTCATGATCTTCAGCCGAGCATCGGCGTAGTTCGGCACATAAATGCGATCGTCGAATGTGAGGAAACCTCTTGAGTTCCACCCCCCACGAAGGATTAGAGGAGACCGCGAACTACGGCGTAGTTCGGTGATTGATCCTGGTTCCTGCACGTTATCGTTACACGTAGGATGAGAACACTCAGCGCAAACGACTCCTAATAATTCTTCTCTGACCCCTTCTATGTCTTCGTCCTCCTGAACTCCAAGTACTAGATCCATAGGGTCCACAAGATCATTTTCCTTTACCTCCCTTGTCCCTTGCAATGCTCGAAGGAGGTGACGCAACTCCGACGTGGTGGCGTCAACTTCGTCGAACTTCGGCAGACCTTGGATAAGGTTGCTCTCTTGTACCATGGTACTTCCTTTCCCGGAATGATAGTCCGCCCGTCTAGATAATCCATCTGGAAGACTTGCCTGGGTTCCTGGCCGATAAACCATTTTAAACCTGAAGTTAGCTAGCTCCTCTACCCACCTACCTTGCCGAGGACTGAGTTGTTTCGGTTCCATCCAGTAGGTAAGGTTTAGATGGTCGGTAAGTACTGTGGTTTCTACCTGCAATAATAAGTGTCTCCTTCTTCTGAAACCCTCCACTACAGCGAGGAACTCCTTTTCTCCTACCGTATAATTCAGTTGAGCTGTGTTGAAAGCACCAGACTCAATAGCTACCGGGTGTTCTTGACCAGCCGTGTTGATCTGCGAAATTATGAACCCCCAGCCGAAGAACGACGCATCTGTCTGTAATATCGTCTTCAATGTAGGGTCAAAATGGGCTAACACCGGCGCAGTACACATCCTAGCCTTCAACTCTTTGAAGGCTGACTCCTGTTCGACTCCCCATACAAATGGTACCTCCTTCCTTGTCAAGTCATTGATAGGTCTAGCAATCTTCGAGAAGTTGGGGACAAAGCGCCTGTAGTAGCTTACAACTCCAATGAATCCCCTTGACTCTCGTAGATTCTTAGGACGTGGGAAGGAAGTGATGGCATCAATGTATTCTGGGTTCACCGATACACCTTTAGAGGATACCACGAAACCCAGAAACACCACCGAATCTCTTTCGAACTCGCACTTACTAGCTTTCACGTACAGGCTCGCCTTCCGCAGTACCTCAAAGACCTTCGCCGTAGTTCCTCGTAATTCCTCCAACGTATTCCCATAAATGAGGATATCGTCAATGTAGACCACGACTCCATTCCCTAGTAGCTCTCTAAACACCTCATTTAGGAAGTGTTGGAAGACCGCGGGGGCGTTTCGCAGCCCATCACGAACAACCAGAGATTCAAACATACCATACTGTGTCCTGAACGCCGTCAGGTGTTCATGTCCCTCTGTCACCCTCAACAATTGGTATGCTCCAATTAGATCTAGTTTGCTGAAATACCTTGCTTTTCCAAGTTCCTCAGTAATTTGACCTATTAGAGGGAGAGGGTAGGCATCTGGTATGGTCGCTTCGTTCAGTTTTCGATAGTCGATGACCATTCGCCATTGTCCTTCGGCTTTCTTCGGTATCATAAACATTGGTGAGCCGTATGGCGAGTTACTTGCCCGAATTCGGCCAGCGGCGATTTCGCGATCTAGTATGTCTCTCAGCGCGCGTCTCTGATCTTCTCCTTGAGCATAGAGGGAGGCGACCTTAAGGTTCGCCCCCTCCTTAAGCTCAAACTTCAAATCGTAGGACCTTGAAGGGGGAAGGGTCTCTCCTCCCTTCTTCGGATTAAAAACGTCAATGTACTGGTGGTATTGTTCAGGAACTACCTGGAACAACTCGTCTTGTTCCTCCGGGCTCAGCTCTTCAAGCTCATCTTCGCCGCGGAGGTCTATCGCGTCCGTCGGAGTCGGCAGCCCTATGGCCCCTAACTTCGCCGCACTTGGTGGGGTTGGGATGGGAAATTTCACCGAGTTGTCTCTTCCATCAAGGACAACCCCTTCCTTCCTCATCCAATCCCACCCTATCACAACATCTGCGTCGCAGAGCGTTGTTACATCGAGACAAACAGATCGCACTTCGGCGTCCTTCGTCAAACTAAATCCGACTTCGACAAACTCGGTGATGGGTCCAGCGACACTCACCGAGCCGTCGAACATGTGAACGGGTACGCTCACCTGATATCGCCTCTTTTCTACACCTATCTTCGCTGCCGCCCTAGGGCTTATATATGAACAAGTAGCTCCAGTGTCCCAGAGCGTAGTTAGCTTTATTCCATTAATGAAAATGTCCGATTTAGGTTGATCTCTGGAAACGGAAGGGATGAGGAGATGATTATCGACATTGCATGAACAAGGGGTACTGAGTGGTGTATTTTTGTATTCACAATCCTCTGGCTCCATCAGCTGTGTTTCTTTTATGGGTTTGGGAATGGTGGCCGAGAGAATATGGCGGACCCGCCGAGCCTCGCCTACTGCGACAGGTCCTCTTCTTTTCCCTGGTCCTCTTCCAAATCTACTTCTCCTCCAACCGCATTCAAGTTCCTCCTCTGTCCGAGAGGTACTGCGTTCCCTCCCGATCCTCCACCACGTTCTCCGAACTTCCCCCCCCATGGAGGCAACAGTCCAACCTTAACCTTAGCCTCCCTTACAGGGCATTCCTTCAGCCAATGTCCTGCTTCACCACACTCGGTACACTTCCCCTCCTTCCTCCTTGTCTCCCTCAGATCGGAGCTCGGCCTAGGCCATCTTCGGCGAACTTCGTCGATGTTTGGCGGTGTACTCTTTACCACCGTCGACATCATAGCCGCCTGGACACCACCCTGCGCCGAAGGTTGCCCCTTTTCCCATTTCTTCTCTTCTTTCTTCTCCGTCCTCTGACTTTCCACCACTGTCGTTGTCCTTATCCCTCCTTCCTTTTTCCTCTCTGCCTCCTTCTCCACTTGTCTCCTCCACAGGCGGTTGTCCAAGGGAATCACAAACTCCAATAGCTCTTTCACAGTCCCAAACGATCTACCGTGTCTTGCAATTTCATCTAGGAGGTGCGATTTTAGTCCTTTCTTGGCTCGGTCAACTAGGTTTCCATCATCAGACCACTTAAGAATCGCAACATGTCGCTGGAAGGCGGAGAAGTAGTCCGAAGCAGACCCGGTTTGCTTGAGGTCGTTAAGTTGTCGGGCCGCAGTTCCTTCTTCGTCTGGATCACCAAAGTTAGTCTTGAGGTACTTAATGAACTGATCGTGTGTCGTGAGGTACTCAGGAAGAGGTCTTTTGGATAGATCGGGCTGCACTGCAAGAAGAGGTGTTTCGCGTAGATGAGAGATCATGAAAAAGACTTTCTTAGTGTCGTCGGGGAAAAGATGAGAGTTCAATTCGAAATGTACGTCGCACTCAGACAGAAAGGCGGTTAACTTGTTCCGATCTCCTCTCCAGAGGTCTGGGTTAGGTAGCTTTATCCCCTTCCGTTGTTCGCCCACTACGCTTGGGGTCGCCGAAGTTTGCCGTCCCATGGCGTACCTCACTCCTTCTGATATCCCTTCTGCAATCCCGCCCACTGTATCCCTTTCTCTTCTCTGTTCCCATTCCTCCCTACGCCTTCTCTCCTCCATCATGTCTTTGTTCATATTCGCCACCATCTGCATCAAGGCCAACACCACCCCTTGTGTTCCTTCTTCTCCCAAGTTCGCCGTACTTCCAGTGTTTTCTCTTGGGCGCGGGGTTTGGTCTGATCCAAGTGGGGATCCCGCAGGTGGGAGAGCATTAGACGGAGGAGAAGGAGGGTTAGAAGGCACCGGTTGTCACGGCCGTCGAGCAACTATTTCTTAATAGACCGACGGTCGACGAACCTCGGCTAACTTCACGCTCTGAGTCGATGTCTCACCCAACCAGGAGGGCGCAGACGTCGAAAGGGGTGTAACTACGGCGTACTTCGGCGTAGTTACTCTAACTAGGGTTTTGTTCTACTGATGGCGATGTATCTTGATTTATAGCTATCTCTATCTGTCTTTCACTACTGACAACAATCAAGGATCGCTGAAGAACTTCAGCGATCTTCTCAGCTAATATTATCTACTCCTCCTAGACGTTCATCCAACCCTCTCGCGCTTTGACGTACTTCAACGCACTTCGTCCAACTTCCCCGAGCCCTCGGCCATCCTCTTCCTCCTTCGACTAACTCCGCCTAACATCGCCGCACTTCTGCTCCCATTGTCCCTACTTAGCCTAACTCCGCCTAACATCGCCGCACTTCTGCTCCCATTGTCCCTAATTAGCCTAACCCCGCCTAACATCGCCGCACTTCTGCTCCCATTGTCCCTACTTAGCCTAACCCCGTCTAACTTCGCCGTACTTCTGCTCCCATTGTCCCTACTTAGCCTAACTCCGTCTAACTTCGCCGTACTTGGTGTCAGAAGTCCTGAGTTACGTGTAGAGTAAAGAGGTTAAGGCGTGATGGGGTTTTGATGGCCAAAGGAGGGTCATTGTTGGTGGAGTAATCGAGGTGTCACGACGTAGTTCGTGACACCGGTGGAACGAACTCATCTCCTTGAATTGATCCCCCCACACTATCCTCCACTCCAAGGTCCTGCCCCATTGCTCTGCTAAGCTCCTCCAATGCTCTCCTCTCGTTCTCCTCCATCCTGTCTCCATCCCTACTCATCCCTCGTGTAATTCTTCTTTCTGGTTCCATATTATCTTTGTACTTCTCCGAGGTTCGCACGGGTCGTCGGTAAGAGCGATCCTTGATACTGTCACGGCCGTCGAACAACTATTTCTTAATAGACCGACGGTCGACGAACCTCGGCTAACTTCACGCTCTGAGTCGATGTCTCACCCAACCAGGAGGGCGCAGACGTCGAAAGGGGTGTAACTACGGCGTACTTCGGCGTAGTTACTCTAACTAGGGTTTTGTTCTACTGATGGCGATGTATCTTGATTTATAGCTATCTCTATCTGTCTTTCACTACTGACAACAATCAAGGATCGCTGAAGAACTTCAGCGATCTTCTCAGCTAATATTATCTACTCCTCCTAGACGTTCATCCAACCCTCTCGCGCTTTGACGTACTTCAACGCACTTCGTCCAACTTCCCCGAGCCCTCGGCCATCCTCTTCCTCCTTCGACTAACTCCGCCTAACATCGCCGCACTTCTGCTCCCATTGTCCCTACTTAGCCTAACTCCGTCTAACTTCGCCGTACTTCTGCTCCCATTGTCCCTACTTAGCCTAACTCTGTCTAACTTCGCCGTACTTCTGCTCCCATTGTCCCTACTTAGACTAACTCCGCCTAACATCGCCGCACTTCTGCTCCCATTGTCCCTACTTAGCCTAACTCCGTCTAACTTTGCCGTACTTGGTGTCAGAAGTCCTGAGTTACGTGTAGAGTAAAGAGGTTAAGGCGTGATGGGGTTTTGATGGCCAAAGGAGGGTCATTGTTGGTGGAGTAATCGAGGTGTCGCGACGTAGTTCGTGACACCACACAAGTGGCCCTCAACGACAAGAAGTGTCCCGAACACCCTGTTCTTTTGTAGTTAGCTTGTTGCAGTGGCATCAGCTCAGTTAGTCCATGTAATGAAATTGTTTGAAAAATCCTGGGTTCAATTCCCAGGTAGGGGGAAAAAGTTTTGCCCGTTTTCAGACAACTAGTATGGGCCTCTCTCTATTTCTAAAAGTGGACATTACCACGACCAGGTAGAGATGGAAAACACTGAATGATCATGTTCAACACTAAAAGCACTGCCGACAAGCCAGTGTTGGCTTGCCAGCCCTTTTGAACCTTCATTACATATTCATACTTTTGCCGATATCAAATTTTTAGCGACTCAAAACAGAACACCCAAAATAAATTCCTTCGATCCATTTTTTTTTCTCAACAGTTTCTTTCCTTTCCTATCCGTCTTGACTCACCAATCTGCAGGCTGAGATGGTATGGTGAGAGCTCACTCATCATCCTCTTCATCCTCACGCTCTTTTCCTTTCCCCTTGCCTTTCTTAGCATCATCGATCATGTTCTGAACTTGAGCGATCATCTGCCAGCGGGTCAGACGGGCGTGGTCTTCATGAGCCGTTGCTGCTTGGTTCCATTGGTGGAGAAAGGCTAGATGTTCGGACATCTGCATGACCGTAGGAGCATGATAAGAAGGGAAAGTAGGCACCTAAACCAAAAAGAAAAAGAAGAATCAGCGATAGCAAGTCTGATGATGAGAACAAGACTTACATATCCCAATGGGGAATGGTCAGGAGACCTGTCAGGGATCATCGAAGACAAAAACGGAGGTTGAGTAGAAGGTCCTGGATCCATAGTGAATGCCATCTGAGCAGTACCAAGATATTGGACATCTGGAGACTATTTTATCAGCGACGGATATTGACCAGCTGAAAGGGCATCAAGAACTCACCGAAGGTCCAGCCCTAGCCTTGCGTTTCGGATTCCTCCTAACCTCCATTGGATGTTTTCCCATCCCCTCATAGATCAAATTACATACTTTCCCCATCTTAGTACAGCGAAGACAGGGTGTGTATCGCTTGAATTGCTTACAGTCGGGACGCTTGCCTTTGACGGACGAGCAGTTGATGCACTTTGCAGCTCGGATGACCCCGTATTTGGTAATGGCGAGAGATTTTTCATCATGAATGCGTGTCTACAGGTCAATGATAAATAACCAAGATCAACCGGACTTACAGTGTTCGACATTGCAGGTGAAGGAGAGTGGGCAGAGTTGTCTACATCACCCATGTACCCGTCACTCACATCACTTGCAAGTGATCCAGCTTGAGCGATGACACTTGCCCCACTTGTTTCTGAAGATCCATCACTGGGATTCCCCTCCAACTGCTGAAGAATTTCATCCAGACCTTCATCGTCAAGCCATTTTTCCCATTCCTCATTACCTGTCAAAGTTGGTTCCAAAGAAGTTGCAGGAGTATCGTTGCGAAGAGTTTCATTGGGTACGGTTATATTTGGCGGAGGTACAATCGGTGGAACAGGCGGCCACTCGGTAGTAAGATTATTCGCAACCATGTTGGAAGTAGGAAGTGGGAGATTCCCAAGGTCCTGAGGATTGACGGTGTTTCCCATCTAAACTCAGTAATGGAACAGTTTCAGGAAGAAAAGACTTACCAAACCAAGAGTTGCGTTCAGTTGACCTTGAGGATAGCCTTCGGTAGCCATCCAAGCGAGCAAATTCCATTCGGCATTGGTAAAGTTGGGTTTGTTGGACATGTTACCGATGTACTGTAATGAAGACTCAATAAAGAGGGAGTTTCCTATACGGAGGAATATTTTGAATAGAAGAGTACGAAGAAAGATATTTGGAAATGCTTGACGGAGCAAGCATCTTAAGAGGGGGGGTACTGTCACGACCCGGCTAACACAGTGTCGTGACCCATGACCCTGAGGCGAGAAGAGACGAGGAGACACGAGGAGACATGAGGAGACACGAGGAGACACGAGGAGACACGAGGAGACACGAGGAGACACGAGGAGACACGAGGAGACACGAGGAGACACAAGAGGAGACAAGGAGACACGAGGGGAGACGACATTGGATACGAGGAGACACGAGGAGACACGAGGAGACACGAGGAGACACGAGAGGAGACAAGGAGACACGAGGGGAGACGACATTGGATGTGCATGAGATCCCCTTTGAAAAGTATAAATACTGGACCTATCTACTTTGTAGTTTCTTTTCTCCAAGGATCAAAATATTATTTGCCACTCACAAAAGACCTCTTCTTGACATATTACTTACATCCCAACACATCCCTCATTATCATTACCCCTGTCCACACCATCACACACACCCTTATTGTCATCTCGACCTGCCCGGATCCTTCGCAAGTCACTTTAGTCTTCCGACCACATCACAAGTCTGCGGACAACATACTAATCGTCGTTGTCCAAGCTAACTAAACAGTTGCAGTCCACCTGTCTTTGGTCCATTGAGGTCTGTCAAGGACAGGACCGTGACAATTGACCATTATGGACAGGAGAGATGTCACGAACTACGTCGTGACACCTCGATTATCCCACCAACAATGACCCTCCTTTGACCATCAAAACCCCTATCACATCTTAACCTCTTTACTCTACACGTAACTCAGGACATCTGAGACCAACTACGGCAAAGTACAACGGGATAATAAGATATACGGGGGCCTGGAGCATAGGGACAACGAAGTACGGCAAAGTTAGACGGAGTTAGGTGAGCTAGGGACAATGGGAGCAGAAGTGCGGCGATGTTAGGCGGAGTTAGGTGAACTAGGGACAATGGGAGCAGAAGTGCGGCGATGTTAGGCGGAGTTAGGTGAACTAGGGACAATGGGAGCAGAAGTGCGGCGATGTTAGGCGGAGTTAGGTGGACTAGGGACAATGGGAGCAGAAGTGCGACGATGTTAGGCGGGATTAGTCGCAGGACGGAGAAGGACGGCCGGGACTCGGGGAAGTTGGACGAAGTGCGTTGAAGTACGTCTAAGCGCGAGAGGGTTGGGTCTAGGAGGAGTAAATAATATTAGCTGAGAAGATCGCTGAAGTTCTTCAGCGATCCTTGATTGTTGTCAGTAGTGAAAGATTGATAGAGATAGCTACATACAAATTAAGATACATCGCCATCAGAGAAAAACCCCAGTTAGAGTAACTACGCCGAAGTACACCGTAGTTACACTCCTTTCGACGTCTGCGCCCTCCTGGTTGGGTGAGACATCGACTTAGAAGCGTCAAGTTAGCCGAGGTTCGTCGACCGTCGGTCTGTTAGAGAGAAGTGTTCGACGGCCGTGACAATCCGCCCGTCTAGACAACCCGTCTGGAAGGCTTGCTTGAGTCCTGTCACAATCGTCGTTTCTTCTTCTCTACTGACCGACGGTCGACAAACCTCGGCTAACTACGTCGTAGTGGGGCGTCGTTGTCTGTCACGAACTACGTCGCGACACCTCAATTACTCCACCAACAATGACCCTCCTTTGGCCATCAAAACCCCATCACGCCTTAACCTCTTTACTCTACACGTAACTCAGGACTTCTGACACCAAGTACGGCGAAGTTAGACGGAGTTAGGCTAAGTAGGGACAATGGGAGCAGAAGTACGGCGAAGTTAGACGGAGTTAAGCTAAGTAGGGACAATGGGAGCAGAAGTACGGCGAAGTTAGACGGAGTTAGGCTAAGTAGGGACAATGGGAGCAGACGTGCGGCGATGTTAGGCGGAGTTAGTCTAAGTAGGGACAATGGGAGCAGAAGTGCGGCGATGTTAGGCGGAGTTAGTCGAAGGAGGAAGAGGATGGCCGAGGGCTCGGGGAAGTTGGACAAAGTGCGTTGAAGTACGTCAAAGCGCGAGAGGGTTGGATGAACGTCTAGGAGGAGTAGATAATATTAGCTGAGAAGATCGCTGAAGTTCTTCAGCGATCCTTGATTGTTGTCAGTAGTGAAAAACAGATAGAGATAGCTATATACAATTCGAGATACATCGCCATCAGTAGAACAAAACCCCAGTTAGAGTAACTACGCCGAAGTACGCCGTAGTTACACTCCTTTCGACGTCTGCGCCCTCTCGGTTGGGTGAGACTTCGACTCAGGAGCATCAAGTTAGCCGAGGTTCGTCGACCGTCGGTCTGCCAGAAGATAGTTGTTCGACGCCCGTGACATTGTCTCACTAAGACAGGGTACTCGTCGAGGTACTACGGCTAACTTCGCCGTAGTGATACATCGAGTGGTAAACTGATAAGATGATCGTCGATGAACTGCGGCTAACTTCGCCGTAGTACGTTGAACTGCTCGGTGGTAGCTCTCCTTAACTCGAAGGTTGTAGCTACTGAATATATCTCTCGCTACTGACAACAATCAAGGATCGCTGAAGAAGTTCAGCGATCTGTAAACTATCTATACTACTCCTCTCTTCTCATAGAACGTCCCTCAACTCCTGCACTGCCTCACGCTCAGTCCTCTTCGTTCAACTTCGCCGTACCTCGCCATATCCCCGATATCCTACTCCGCTTACTTTGACTAACTTCGCCTAACTTCCCCTGTTCTGCTCTCCCTCAGTTCCCTTCCCCTAACTTCGCCGTAATTCTCCGCTAGGCGGGGTTATCGTGACAAATCCCCCTTGGTTCTCGTAACTTCGCCGTAGTTGGTCTCAGTGGTTCGAGTGGAGGTCGGTGATGGTGAAAGGAGGGTCGGTGATCAGGGATGTTACGACGTAGTTCGTGACAGTCGCCCCCTCCTTAGGCGCGAACGTCCTCGTGAGTTTCGTATGCATGTAATGATGAAAAAGACACTCAGCAGGTTGCAGGAAACACAATTGGTCATATAACAGTTGTTGGTAGATGATACCATGGGTCGTTGGTAATCGGACAGTAAACTTCATCGAAGTTTATCGTGGTTGCTTGTTGTTACCCTGTGGTAGTTACGTTGTAAGTGAGACAGAGGATTTGGGGTACAACAAACCTCGTCGAAGTTCGTCAGCGTATCCCTAACTTATATGAATGTGAGACACGTAGCGTGGGAATTTTGATCGTCGCCATGGTGTTTGTTGTCGCTGAGACACCTTGTTATGAGAAGTTACCAGCGCCCTGACGACGAGTAGTCGTGTTAGTTATACTAAATACTCAGTACTTCGGCCCACTTCTTCTTCTTCCCCAGTACTATTCCTAAATCGTACTATCATCGTCTATCGATTTCCAGTCTTTACCTTACCAAACATATCAATTTGATATATTTCAACAAAATGTCTTCTCGTCCGGAGCTCAACACCCATAAATTTTTTGCAGATCGTTTCGCCGCTGTCCGTAAGTCTACTTGTACTCTCCATAAGCTACTCTGTCGCTGATTGTCCTAGTTGCTCAGCAGGGGAACTCTCCCCGCCATGTGTCGTCCATGGGCTTTGGAGCCCTAGCCATCACCGATGGCTCGCCTTCTGCTGCTGCAGTTTCCGCTGCAGTCCCTTCTGCCACCGCGTCCCCTGTTGCGGTTACGACCCCTCTCTCCTCTGGCCAACAGGAGGTCAGACCTGCTCCTGTTGGCCTTCCGCACACGTCAGGCCGTACTGCCACTGTGGTAGAAATCGATGATGATGACGATGAGGAGATGGATGGTGTTCGTCGTGGTGAAGAGACGGGTGTGTTGGTCGATGATGGTGAGAAGGGTGGTGCAGATGAGGATGAGGAGATGGGTGAGCTCGATGAAGATGAGGAAATCCTCAGTGTTGATCTCGGTGATCCAGCGCTGTTTGAGGATAGAGAAATGTGGGTGTCAGAGTTGGAAAAGTTAAGCCGTATGTCCTCTTGTCATATACCCTGTTCGTAAGTGCTGACATGTAGCTGTTCGTGATAATGAAGGTTCTCCCGAATTCCGCGTACGGCTCCAGACCTCTTTCGGGAAGAAACGGGTTGCGTATCAGGAGAAGATGGATGCTCTGGCTGAAATTAAAGCCGAGAAACGTTGCCGTTCCCCTTCCGCCCACAACGAAGTAACCTCTCCTTCGGCGAAACGGGTCAAAGAGACCCCTCGGTCCTCTACAGGACAGGCTGAATTGTTTCCCTCCCCTTCCCACGAGCCAGGGAGTGCTCGCAAGGCGTCGTTGCGAGAACAGGATAGGCTATGGCAGTTGTTTATCGATGAAAGGGAGCGATGGGAGGTCGCAAGTATCGATGAGTCGTGTGATAGATGTCGGTAGGTTCCTTCCCTAGAAGGTTATACGTTCAGCTACCAGAGGAAATCCTTCCTTCCCTCGACCACCCCACTATCGCTCTCGATCCTCGGATACCAGAGGAGGAAAAACAATTAGCCACCTTCCGTTCCGTCATTATTGGCTTAACCACGCAATTACAAGCCAATAGACGAGATACGGCAAAGCTCGTCGAATATTGTGTGAAGCTGGTCTCTGCGATGAATACTCTCTCTCGGACAATGGCAACTCTTGTGAACTCCTCCGACATAGGGCCATTAGGGCGAACTGAGTTAGCTAGAGTCTCCCGAGAGCTCACAACGGACATGAGCGACTTCTACCGCAATCTCTTCGACTCTCCTTACCTCCTGAACCCCACTGAGTATATGCTCCCCCCTACACTGGACTGGTTAAAACCATCTCAACCAGCTCGACTCAGTTCTCAGGATGGTGCTTTCCTCGATATCCTAACTCTTCCCGCAGACTGTCTTAGAACACTTTGTCAGTTGTGGAAATCACCTAGTCTGAGTGTCGCTCGTGATCCTGCTCTCCACTCCGCTCACATTCTCGCCTTTAATACAGCATGGAAGGAGACTCGGGCCCTCCGACGGGCGGTGGGACCGAAGGTTACTGAGAGTAGTTCTGGGAGTGGTCCTGCACCGGGAAACGAGGAACAGGGAGGAAGTTCGCAGCAGTGAGTTGTACTTAGCTAATGTTGTACCAGTTGTATGAATTACTTCCTCGTTCGTGATCTTACCACTCGTCCTTTCGTCGGCTTATCCGGGTGAAGTTCGTGGAACTTCGCCAACATGTCATTAGCTCCGTCCACATTTTCTACTGGTTCCCATGATACTGCGTCTTCCGAGCCTTCGTAACCTAACCATTCCACTAGGTATTCGACCTCTTATTTACTCTCGAGTCCCCAATATCCTTTACTTCCCACGATTCTCCTACGTTATCTACCTCTACTGGGCCAGGTGGTTCAGCTTGCTGACCAGGAAATACCGGAGGGTGATAGGGACGGAGTAAAGAAACATGGAATACATCATGGATACCTGCCATCGTTCCTGGTAGTTCCAGTTTACAAGCATGAGAACCTACTTGCCGTACTACCTTGTACGGCCCACTTTGCTTAACGTCCAACTTCTTCATTGGTCTCTTAGTCTTGATATTCTCTAACGACAGCATAACTAGGTCACCTTCCACGAAGTTCGGCGTAGTTTGATGTTTCCTGTTGTATCCTTCGGCGTACTTCTCGTTAGCTCTCTCAATCCCCTCAATACACTCCTTATGTATTTCAGTTAGGTCCTTCACTGCTATTGTAGCAGCAGGTACCTCAACTTCACTAGCCTTAATCTCTTCAGCCCATCGAGGGTGGTACCCATAATTCGCATAGAATGGGGTCTTGTTTATCGCGGAATGATGGGTGTTATTATAAGCAAAGCTAGCTCGAGCAAGCAGCTTCGACCAGTCGTTCTGCTGGTAGGAAGTGAAAATTCGGAGGTATAATTCCAGGGACTGGTTCGTTTGTTTGGTCTGCCCATCAGTCTGTGGATGATACGCGGTAGAAAGATGTAGTCTTATCCCGAGATGTCACGTGCGTCGAACAACTATCTTCTGGCAGACCGACGGTCGACGAACCTCGGCTAACTTGATGCTCCTGAGTCGAAGTCTCACCCAACCGAGAGGGCGCAGACGTCGAAAGGAGTGTAACTACGGCGTACTTCGGCGTAGTTACTCTAACTGGGGTTTTGTTCTACTGATGGCGATGTATCTCGAATTGTATATAGTTATCTCTATCTGTTTTTCACTACTGACAACAATCAAGGATCGCTGAAGAACTTCAGCGATCTTCTCAGCTAATATTATCTACTCCTCCTAGACGTTCATCCAACCCTCTCGCGCTTTGACGTACTTCAACGCACTTCGTCCAACTTCCCCGAGCCCTCGGCCATCCTCTTCCTCCTTCGACTAACTCCGCCTAACATCGCCGCACTTCTGCTCCCATTGTCCCTACTTAGCCTAACTCCGCCTAACTTCGCCGTACTTCTGCTCCCATTGTCCCTACTTAGCCTAACTCCGTCTAACTTCGCCGTACTTCTGCTCCCATTGTCCCTACTTGGCCTAACTCCGTCTAACTTCGCCGTACTTGGTGTCAGAAGTCCTGAGTTACGTGTAGAGTAAAGAGGTTAAGGCGTGATGGGGTTTTGATGGCCAAAGGAGGGTCATTGTTGGTGGAGTAATCGAGGTGTCACGACGTAGTTCGTGACACGAGACTATCGGTCAAGTTCTTCCAAAACTTCGAAGTAAACTTCGATCCTCTGTCTGATACTATACTCTCTGGTAACCCATGCTGGGCCACCACATAGTCCATTATCAGCTCTGACAGTCCAGCTGCGGTTAACTTCGTCGTGGTTGGGATAAACATGGCCCATTTTGTCAGTCGATCCACGACCACTAAGATAGAGTTATATCCATGGGAATTTGGGAGCTCTTCGATGAAATCCATCGAGATACTTGACCAAGGTTTTGTCGCTACTTGTAGGGGTTTAAGTTCTCCATGAGGCTTCTGTCTGTTAGTCTTAGCTCTCTGACATACCGCACAACCAGCGACATAGTCTTCTACATCCTTCCTTACTCCAACCCAAACATAATCCCTTAGGATTAGTTCAAGGGTCTTCGCCGAACCTGGGTGACCAGCCAAAGCCGAGTCATGTCGCATCTTCATGATCTTTAGTCGAGCGTCGGCACAGTTCGGCACATAAGTGCGATCGTCGAATGCGAGGAAACCTCTCGGGGTCCACCCCCCACAAAGTATTAGAGGAGACCGCAAACTACGGCGTAGTTCGGTGATTGATCCTGGTTCCTGTACATCATCATGACACGTCGGATGAGAACACTCAGCGCAGATAACTCCTAATAACTCCTCTCTAACCTCCTCTATGTCTTCCTCCTCCTGAACTCCAAGTATCAGATCCATAGGGTCGACAAGATCTTTTTCCTTCACCTCCCTTGTCCCTTGCAAGGCTCGAAGGAGGTGGCGCAACTCCGACGTGGTGTCGTCAACTTCGTCGAACTTCGGCAGACCCTGAATAAGGTTGCTCTCTTGTATCATGGTACTTCCTTTTCCGAGTGATAATCCGCCCGTCTAGACAACCCGTCTGGAAGGCTTGCTTGAGTCCCTGGTCGATAAACCATTTTAAATCTGAAGTTAGCTAACTCTTCTACCCACCTACCTTGACATGGGCTGAGTTGCTTTGGCTCCATCCAGTAGGTGAGATTTAAATGGTCGGTAAGGACCGTGGTTTCTACCTGCAGTAGTAAGTGTCTTCTTCTTCTGAAACCCTCAACTACGGCAAGGAACTCCTTTTCTCCTACCGTGTAATTTAGTTGGGCCGTATTGAACGCGCCTGACTCGATGGCGACTGGGTGCTCTTGACCAGCTGTATTAATCTGCGAAGTTATGAAACCCCAGCCGAAGAACGAGGCATCTGTCTGTAATATGGTCTTCAATGTAGGGTCAAAGTGAGCTAACACCGGCGCAGTACACATCCTAGCCTTCAATTCCTTAAAGGCTGACTCCTGTTCTGCTCCCCACACAAACGGTACCTGCTTCCTTGTCAAATCATTGATAGGTCTAGCAATCTTCGAGAAGTTGGGGACAAAACGCCTGTAATAGCCCACGACTCCAATGAAACCCCTCGACTCTCGTAGATTCTTTGGACGTGGGAAGGATGTGATGGCGTCAATGTACTCTGGATTAACCGAAACACCTCAAGAGGAGACCACAAAACCCAGGAATACCACCAAATCTCTTTCGAACTCGCACTTACTAGGTTTCACGTACAAGCTCGCCTTCCGCAGCACTTCAAAGACCTTCGCCGTAGTTCCTCATAATTCCTCCAATGTATTCCCATAAATGAGGATATCATCAATGTAGACCACGACTCCATTCCCTAGCAGTTCTCTAAACACCTCGTTCAGGAAGTGCTGGAAGACAGCAGGGGCGTTTCGCAGCCCATCACGAACGACAAGAGATTCGAACATACCATACTGTGTCCTGAACGCCGTCAGGTGTTCATGTCCTTCTGTCACCCTTAACAATTGGTACGCTCCAATTAGATCTAGTTTGCTGAAGTACCTTGCTTTTCCAAGTTCTTCGGTAATCTGGCCTATTAATGGGAGAGGGTAGGCATCTGGTATGGTCGCTTCGTTCAGTTTTCGATAGTCGATGACCATTCGCCATTGTCCTTCGGCTTTCTTCGGTATCATAAACATCGGTGAGCCGTATGGCGAGTTACTTGCTCGAATTCGGCCAGCAGCGATTTCGCGATCTAGTATGTCTCTCAGCGCGCGTCTCTGATCTTCTCCTTGAGCATAGAGGGAGGCGACCTTCAGGTTCGCCCCCTCCTTAAGCTCAAACTTCAAATCGTAGGACCTCGAAGGGGGAAGGGTCTCCCCTCCCTTCTTCGGATTAAACACGTCAATGTACTGGTGGTATTGCTCAGGAACTACCTGGAACAACTCGTCTTGTTCCTCCGGGCTCAGCTCTTCAAGCTCTTCTTCGCCGCGGAGGTCTGTCTCGTCGGTTCGGGTCCTGAGCCCTATGGCTGCCAGGACCGCAACATCTTTCGTCTGTGGAAAGGGAGAGGATAACTCTTCCCTTTTACTCGGCAAGGGTAGGGGAAAAGACACTGCGCTTTCCTCACTGTTCGTCAGGGGAATAGGGAAGGATATCATATTCGCTCCCCCATTCAGGATTACCCCTTCTTCTTTCATCCATTCCCATCCTATCACGACATCCGCGTCGCAAAGGGTGGTAACATCCAGCTTAATTGGGCGGACCTCGCCTAACTTCTCGACACCCAGACTCACTTCGACAAACTCCGTAATGGGTCCAGCCACACTAACCGAGCCATCGAACATGTGAACTGGTACACTCACGGGGTATTTCCTCTTCTCCTTCCTAATCTTCCTGGCCGCCTTGGGACTTATATACGAACAGGTCGCTCCAGTGTCCCACAAGGCCGTTAGTTCAACTCCGTCGACATACACATTAGATTTGGGTTGGTTGTTACAGGTGGAAGGGATTAGGGTATGACAGTCGTTTATACATTTCGGAGTGGTGTTTACGGATTTATATACACATTTACCTGGTCTCATCAGCTCTTTCCTTTTACTGGGGGTAGGGATAGTGGCCGAGAGAATATGAGTGCGGACCCGCCGAGTCTCGCCTATCGCGACGGGTCCCCATCTTTTTCCTCCTCGTCCATCCCCTGCCCTTCAACGTTCGCTTCCTCCCCTCCAATTGCATTGATCTTCCTCCTGTCCCCCAGAGGGATAGCATTCCCCCCCGTGCTACCTCTCCCTTCTCCTCCAGCATACTGTCCAAGAGGTCGTGCGGGGATGATCCCTGCCTTTACTTTTGCGGCCATCACAGGACAGTCTCAGTTGTAATGTCCCTTCTCTCCACATCCGGTACACTTCCCTTCTTCCCTACGCTTCAACACCTCCTCGGCACTGGGTCTCGGCCAACGACAGTTTAGTTTGTCTACGTCCGTCGGGATTGCCATTCCCCAGTTCGTGACCTTAGGTCGTGACCCCACGAACTTCGCCGTAGATTGCCCTTTCTCTTCGGACTGCCTTTCCCCTCCCCTGCTTACTTCCTCTCTCCTCTCCCCTTGTTCCTTCACTTCCTTCCTTTTCTTCTCATTCTCCTTCTCCACCCTTCGTTGATGTAAACGATTGTCCATGGGGACCACGAACTCAATCAACTCTCAGACGGTCT